TTACAGTTTTTCTTAAACTCTCACTTTCTTTTTTCCTGAATCTGGAAGGGAAAGTATTAAAACCGGCACCTAACTTTGTTCTATAGGCTAGGTGATCTTTTTTTTTTTTTTTTTTGTGGTACTGGGGATTGAACTTAGGACATTAGGCTTGCCAGGCAGGTGCTTATGCCATTGAGCTATCTACCCAACCCTAAGCTTTGGTCTTGACTTACTCTTTTTCTAGAAATTAAGATTCAACATTGTTATTTGAGCTCATTCTGGTTTTCTTTTCTTTATTTTTTCTTTCTTTATTTTTTTTTCCCCAGTATTAGGGATTGAACTCAGGACCCTGCACCTGCCAGGCAGGCACTTATTCTGCTGAGCTATCTCTCCTTCCTCCCATTCTGTTTTTCTGATATGAGAATCAAACAATATACATTACCCTCATAGGTAATGTATTTTGTTGCATCCTATAAGTTCTGGTGTGTTGTATTGGCATTATCATTTAATTACAGAAACTATCTAATTTCTTTCATATTATCTGTGACCCATTGGTTGTTCAGGAGGGAGTTGTTTAATTTCCACATGCTTATGCAGTTTTTCACAGTTCTTTGCTATTGATTTCATGTTTCATTGTGTTATGGCCAGATAATATGCATGGGATAATTTTATCTCCTTTGCATTTACTTATGCATTTTTTATGAGCTAGTAGTGTGGATTATTTGGAGAATATCCCATATGTAGTTGAGAAGTATATACTGATGTTGTAGAGTGGAATACTCTGATTTGTATACTTTCAGTGGAATTTGTAATGTTCTTGACTTCTGTTTAAATCTGTTTTATGGCTTCCCTTTCTTTCCTATGTTGGGCATTCCATCATTTTCCCAAGCCCCTCTATTTTTTTAAAAATCTGTGTCTACTCTAGTGTTGCTAACCACAGCTTTCATTATGGTTGCCATCTCTGTGGTTATCTGAGAGATTATTTCTGATTTGATTTTTAGCCTTATTCATCTGCTCTGTTACTTTTGCTTTTATCCCTTCAGAGACTATAGGTGGGTGGCTTTCAAAGTGTTCCACCTCATTGCCCCCAGGTTTGCCTTTGGTGAGCTGGAGTTGGAGCTTGCTTAAGTATCTTCTCATATATTGTTTTAATTCCTGGGTTCCTGCTTGTAAACTGCTTATGGCAAGTAGCTTTATTGCTAGTATTTAGACCCTGTAGGGGACGACTGCTTCTTAGAGTTGTCTTCCAGGTGTAACTGGCTTTTGGGTTTTGAGACTGTTGCAAGATCTTTTTTTTCAGTTTTTGGGGAATGAGAAATTGCTGCCCATTCGGCCTAGCCCCTGATTCTTTGGCACTGCCTATAATGTTTGTAACACTCTTAGCTAATCTTAATCTTGGCATACCAAGAAGAAAAACTGATTAGAAAAATCATGCCAGGCTGGGGAGATAGCTCAGTGGCTTAAGTGCCTACCCGGCAAGCACAAGGGCCAGAGTTCAATACCCAGTACCACAAAAGAAAAGAAAGAAAAATTATGCCACCTTGGCTAAAGTAGTATCATCAGCAATAACAACAGCATCAAACAGAGCCTAGAGAATGACAAATGGGAGTAACTATCAATTTGCCACCTTTAACTATATGAACTGTATTTGTGGTTGTCTAACAAATTCTAAAACAAACAACAAAATTGTATACAGTAAATATGTCCTCCTTATGGCAGTTTTACTCTTAGGGGAGAAAATTTGAAAGAGGTAGGGGGATAACTATGAGAAGAGGGACAGCTTAGAAACAAGGCTGGAGGACAAAGGAAGATTACGTGACCTTTGGGAAACAGCTGGAAAAGGCAGGAGGGAATGGGGCCAGGGAGATAGCTCAGTAGAATAAGTGCTTGCCTGGCAAGTGCAGGGTCCTGAATTCAATCCCCGATTCTGCGAAGAAAAAAAAAAAGACAGGAGGGAAAAAGAAGGGAGAAATAAAGAAAGAAAAACAATACTAGGAACAATCTTTACTTATATAAAAACAACTAAGAAAAAAACAAAATGAAAAATAGTTTTATTTTTTAAAGAATATAAAATAGTAATAAACAGCATTAGAAATGATACAAAATTTCAGTAAACAGAGTAATAGGAATTGAACAATGGTTGCTGTATCATATGATGTTATCTTCAAAATAGTTGTTCAGGTTACCAGATGTAAATGTGCAAAATTGGTTTTAAAAAAAGTTACAAGAAAAATTTTTTAAAGGTATTTTTCCAGGAGAACTGAAATCATACCACAGCATGCACACATGTTTATAGCAGCGCAGTTTGTCATAGGTAAATCTTGGACACAACCCAAATGCCCTTCAACTGAGGAATGGATAAAAAAGATACGGTATTTTTACACAATGGAGTATTAATTGGTTATAAAAAAGATAAGTTTGAGGCTTTTATAGGTAAATGGATGCAACTAGAAACTGTATTAGTAAGTGAAATAAATTAGACCCATATGTGCAAACATCGTATTGTATCGCTAGCATGAGAACCTAAAAGAATAAATAAAATTTGAGAGGTATATAGATACTGTGAAAAGGAAAGAATTTATTCAACCCAAAAAATATTTTTAAAAGGAAGAAAAAAAAATACCTACTTCAGAGCATTGCTCTGCTGTCATTGGGAGATAGATTGGGCAGACAAAGTCCAGGTCTGTGTTTTAATCCCAGCAAGGCAGCCCTAGATTTAGGGATAATCCCAGCCACTTTGCACCTTTAGTGCCGTTGGAGCTCAGGCTGTTTTCTGGCTGTGAGGGTAGAACCTGATTTGCTCAACCTGTGATAGTTGGTGTGCAAGCCTGAACTCATTTCTGCCTCACCCTGATACTGGGAGCCTCTAAATGGAGCCAGCCTGCTGCTGCTCCAAGTTCTGGGCTCAGTTGTCCTCTCTCCATGATGACTACTGGCTAGTTGCCCTCTCTGGGGAACATATGCATCCAAATGGCTCACCATTCACTGCTGCATCGCGGCTCTGTTCCATTGGTGTGTTTCTCCATGGTAGGCTCTGGGGTCTCCAGATTTGAGCTTCCCCTCCCAAGCAGTGAGTCAGGGTTGGGGAGAAAGTGCCACCTGCCACCTCCTTTTTTACATTGAGGTTTTTCTCTTTGCTGTCTCCGTGAGCTTCAGTTCTCGCTTCAGATCCTTGCTGAGTCCCAGAGACCAACTTCCCTCCTTCTCTTCCTCACATTATTCCAGTGTAGATACTACATCTCAGAGTAGCTCTTTGTCTGCTGTTTGCCACTCAGCCATCTACCCAGAAGTCTGAGAGATTGTATTTGTACCAAGCGTCCTAGGATACTTTGCTGCTTGCCTGAGAACCCACAGCAGATGAGCTAGTGTTTCTTTCAGAAAGATCAATGTATGATTTCCTATATCTCACATTACAAAGGCATTTTTTCACTTTTATGACAGTTTCATTGCCTAAAATTCACTCCGAGGTGCTGTGCAAAGTATAAGCCCTGCCCTCTGGATTTTATTCTAGTGGACATCTGTTAATTCTGTTGTCTGTTTCTGTCTTGCTTACCTCTATGTTTATAGCTATACATATGGGCAAATCTACTATTTCAAAGTACTGTTTTCCCTTGCTATTTTAGAACCAAAAAAAGCCTGAAAATGATGATGACATGGAGATTAAGAAGCAGTTGTCCAAGTATGAATCTCAACTTTCAACGAATGAGGAGAAAATAGATACAGATGACCGTAAGTCCCTATGAGTGCTTCTGTCTGGCAGTGGGGACCAACTGGAAGAGGTGGGGCTGTGTCCTTTTGACTTTGTTCTTTTTAATACCTAATACTTTAAAAAAAAAAAAAAATTGTTGGCCAGGCATGGTGACCCAGGCCTGTAATACCAGCTCTCAGGAGGCTGAGGTAGCAGGATTGCCATCAATTCAAGGCCAGGATGAACTACATAAAAAGACCATGTCTCAAAAAATTGTCAACAAGTAGGTTTTCTATATTTATATTTCTTTTTGTGTGTTTGCTTTTATGGGTTGGAGGGTATGTTGCTGTGATTGAACCCAGGGACTTAAACATGCTAAGCATGGCTGTACCACTGAGTTTCCCCCACAGGCCCTATAATTTACTCGTGTTTACTTTTTGTGACCGGTCTCTTTATGTAGCCCAGCCTGGCCCTGAAATCACAGCAACTGTCTGCCTTAGCCTCTGACTGCCAAGATTACAAGCATGCGCCACCACAGTCAGCCTGTAATTCCTCACTTGAGATAAATTCAGAGTTACAGAAAAGTTTCAAGAATAATGCAACTGAGCCTGTAATCCCAACACTCGGGAGACTGAGGCAGGAGGATTGTTGCAAGTTGGAGACCGGCATGGTCTACAAAGTGAGCTCAAAGCCAGCCTGAACTGCTTAGTGAGACCCTGCCTCAAAAAGACAAAGGAAAAAAAGAAGAATGCAGCTGGACATGATGGCATACGCCTAAAATCTCAGCACTCAGGAGACTGAGACAGAAGGACTGCACTGTGCTCAAGACCAGCCTGGGCTATGTAGTGAGTTGAAGTTCAGCCTGAACTGTGCAGCAAGACCCTGTCTCAAAAGAGAAAGGAAAGAGAATATGATAGAGTAGTTCAAAGAATTACTCAGTACCTTTCACTCACATTGTTCAATTTTTTTTACCTTTATTTATTTTTTACCTTTTTTAAAACCTTCATTTATCAGTTTATCTGTAAGCACACATTCTTTTCTGAACTACTTGAAAGCAATTTATAAATATGATACTTCCTTTTTATATATTACTATGATTCAATTCAATATCAGGAAATTTGCTTGGTGTGTAATCAGAGCTGTCAGGAGGCTGAGACAGGAGGGTAACAAGTTCATAGCTAGCCTCGGAAACCTAGTTAAACTTGTCTCAAAATAAAAATTTTTAAAGGGGTAGGAATATATCTCAGAAATGGAGCTCTTGCCTAGCATACTCAAGACCGTAGGTTTAATCCCTAGAACTGAAAAAAAAAAAATTAATAAATTTATCTTAATGCAGTGCCATTCCCTAGTCTGTAGACCTTATCTTTTCCAGTTGTCTTTATTCCTTCCCTCCACCCAAAGAACAAACGTTGGTCCAACGTGCAAGCCAGGATTGAATGGTGTGCTTAGTTGCTTCTCACTTCATTTGTATATCTTCGTGACTACATGGTCAGGTCAGGATGGAATACCAAAGTGGAGTTGCATCCTTTCAGTGACATAACATGCACTGCTGTGATGCTTTGTCACTGCTGGCGCTTGCTGGGGTTACTTGGCTGAGGACATATCTACATGTTTCTCTGTAGAAAAGGTACTGTTTTTCCTGTAACAGTTGTGAGCTTGGCACTTCTTAATAGAAGGATTCTGTTAAGATTCATGGGTGTGGTGGCACATACCTATAATCCCAGCATTCGGGAGGCTGAGGCAGCCTGAGCTACAGAGTGCGCTCAAGGGCAGCCTGGAATACATGGCAAGACCCTGTCTCAAAAAGACATCCCCCCCCCCAAAAAAAAAGAAGATTCATGATTTTAAATCCTCTTCCTTGTTACAGCTTCAAGGCCTGCTGTGCCCTTCCCTCCTCCCCATTGTTCACTCTGCTGCTGTGGCTTTATCGTCTTTCTTCCTATGAGCACACAGTGTATCTCTGGGCCTGCACTCACAGTTCTGCTGTGGAGCTCTTCCAGATTTTCACATGAATTTCTCCTCCTGTTCTTCAGGTCTTAGTCAGCTGCACCTGCCAAGAGGCCTTCTCTGATCATTCCAGTGCGACAGGTTTCAGTTACTGTCCTTCATATCACCCTTTCCTGATTAGTCTGGTGCCTCAGATTTCCTTGTTTGTATATGGCTTGCTTATGAAGTGGGGCGCTCTCAACAGAAATTTAAGTCTCTTGAAAGCAGGTATTTTACTGTGTGCCAGTCTATTCCCAGGGTAGACCAGAAAGCTCAGCATAGTGTAGGCACTCATTAGATGGTTGTCTATTGAAGTTTCTAGTTTACCTTATATTTTCCAATATGCTGTTTTTCTCTAAAGAATGAGTAAAATGCCTCACCATTCCTGTTACTCTCTCCTTCCTCCTACCCATACTTCTCTTCCTCTTTTTTTTTTTTTTTTTTTTTTTTTTTTTTTTTTTTGAGAGAGATATGCAGGGTTTTACTAAGTAGTTCAGATCTGCCTCAAACTTCATGGTGTAGCTCAGGCTGGCCTCCAATTCCCCATCCTCCTGTCTCAGTCTCCAAGTGCTGGGATTCCAAGTGTGCGCCAACATGCCTGGCTTCACTCATTCTTCTTCTATTTCCTCTTCAACTTTTTGAATGGACTAAAGTGAAATAAGGGGAGGAAATAGTGGCTAGAAAATGGACCACAGGAACAGAAATGTTCCTAATAAAATTGGTAATAGTGCACGATAAAGAAGTAACAATCTTATAAGCATATGATTCTTTTATGGTCAAAAATAACTCATCTTTTAAAATATAGGGAAGTAGAGGGAATTGAAGAAGAATTAGTAGAGTAGTTATCAATATTGCTTAAAATCCATTTCTGCCAGATGTGGTAGTGCACACCTGTATTCCCAGCACTCAAGAGGCTGAGGCAGGAGGATCATTGTAAGTTCAAGGCCACTGTAGGTTACAAAGTGAATTTAGGGCCAGGGATATAACTCAGTGGCACAGTACCTGCCTGGCACGTGCAAGGTTCTAAGTTCAATTCCCAGTAGGAAAAAAAAAAAAAAAAAAGTAAATTGAGGCCAGCCTGAACTACATAATGAGATCAAAAAGACAAAATAATAAAAGTAAAAATAAAATCCATTCCTAATATGTGAGATCATTCAATTTCTAAAATTCACTAAAATCCATTAGTCTTCTTCGATACTCTAATACTTAGTACTTTGGGTGTGAGAGACAAACACTTTCAGATCATTTATTGCTTTTTGTCTGATAATCTTTCGTATGTGTCCAAATATATTACCGAAGTCTTCTGACTTTATTCCAGTGTCCTTTATGTTTATTCTTAGGCACTGAAGGCTATTTACCAGCAGACTCTCAAGAGCCCTCCCACTTCGATTCTCAGCAGCCAGCAATTTTGGAAGAAGAAGAGGTCATGATAGCTCATGCTCACCCACAAGAAGTCTATAATGAATATGTACCCAGAGGGTGCAAGAACAAATGCCACTCACACTTCCATGATACCCTGGGCCAGTCGGATGACCTCATTCACCACCATCACGACTACCATCATATTCTCCATCACCACCACCACCAAAACCACCACCCCCATAGTCACAGTCAGCGCTACTCTCGGGAGGAGCTGAAAGATGCTGGCATTGCCACTTTAGCGTGGATGGTGATCATGGGCGATGGCCTACACAACTTCAGCGATGGCCTAGCAATTGGTATAAATCTGTCTTTTGTTCTTTGTAGCTTGACTCAGAGATGATATTAAACACCCAGTCATGTTTTACAAAATAATAGGCTCATTTACTACAGGCAAGGATTTTAGTGACTGAAGTCACTAAAGTTATCAAAATATTATTTTCTTTGGCTACTTTTACAAAGCAGTGCTCAATGAATATTAGAGATAATTAACTGCTATGATCTGGGCCTAGCCTGTTACATAAAACAAAGCTACTATCAAAGTAGTTGTTTCATTTGAGGTGCCTTAAAATTAGGCTTTAACTTCTAAGGAACGTGTATGTATGAGGTTTTTCTACTCTATATGTTGAATTTCTGTTATTAATAATATCAGCTGTATATTAAGCTGACATTCTTTTCTTTTTTCTTTTTTTCCTTGTATTAGGGACTTATCACCAGGGACACTCTACTACTGACCTACGTCACCAGCGTGTGTGTGTGTGTGTGTGTGTGTGTGTGTGTGTGTAGGAAAGGCCTCACTAAATTGCCCAGGCTGGCCTGAACCTTGTGATCCTCTTAGTCTTCCAACTAGCTAGGATTACAAGCATGAATCACCATGCATAGCTCTATCATCTTTTCTTTTATGCTAAGGGAAGCTTCCTGTATTTGATAAATCCAGTTATCAGTCTCTAAAGAATTACAGAATTTTTATATCAAATTATTATGCCACAATTCAGAGATAATAAAACACAAATTTTCGTGGTTTAAGTCTAGAAGGAACCATGGAGGTCATTATAAATTGGTCAGCTTAAGCCTGGGAAAGTGACAAGGAGGCAGTGCTCTTGTACAGCCAGGCTGAGACAGTCCTACCTTGCTTCCCCGGGAGTTTGTTAGTCTTCCTTGCACACTATATTGTATGAATTATAGCAGTCAAAGGAGAAATAATATCTAAATACACAGTCATGGTCATTAGTTGATCAGTTATATAAGGTTTTTTGGGTTTTTTTTTGTTTTTTGTTTTGTTTTGTTTTTTGGAGGAACAGGGGATTGAACTCAGGCCCTTGCACTTGCCAGGGAAGCACTTACTCCACTAAGCCATCTCCCCGGCCCCTATAAGTTTTTTAAAAGTGGGAATGTGGGATAGCTATTTGTCTTAGAATCTCCTTATAGGGCCAGCCAGATAGCTCAGTGAACTAAACCGCCTACTTGGGCAGATGCAGGGACAGGAGCTCTATTCCCGGCATGCCTTGCCAGCCCTGCCCCCAGGGTGCGCCAAGTTTGAGACAGTGGGCATGGTGGTGCGTGCCTATAATCCCAGTGCTTGGGAGGCTAAAAACAGGAGGATCACTATGAGTCCAGTTTGTGTAGTGAGACCCTGTAGACTCTGTACTAAATACATTAATTAAAAAAAAGAATCTCCTTATAAGAAAATAAGTGTAACTACTACTAATGACAGTTAATTTTCTGAGGCTATGAAACATTTACATGCTTAACTACAGAATATTTTTTCTAAAGTTTTTAAATCAGTTTACATTCTTGAGTAATGTATATTGTGGTAGCAGTTACTTCTGAAGTGTAAAAAAGCTGGGCTGAGAACTTTATTCATTCAAAGCCGTTTTTAACCTTATTTTCTGTGTCATTACTGAAAAACACTTATAATTTCATCACTCTGGGAGACTAAGGCAGGTGGATTCTAATTCAAGCCCAGTCTGGGCAATTTAGCAACTTAGCAAAGTCTGGTATCAAGATAATAAATGAAAACAGGACTGGGCGTATAGTCAGTGTCAAAGCCCTAGCTTCAGTCTCAGTAGCCACTGTTCCACAAAAAAAAAAAAACCCCACAAAATAATGTGTCTGAATGCTTTCTGGTTAATTTTTACAGGGGCTGCTTTCACTGAAGGCTTATCAAGTGGGTTGAGTACTTCTGTTGCTGTGTTCTGTCACGAGTTGCCTCATGAATTAGGTAAGAAAACCATATAAATTACCAGTCATAGGAGCAGAGCGTCCTAGTGCCCCCTGACTTTTCCTAGTGAGCGTTCTACAAGCATCTTTGTAAGTTCTATCCATTCTCATGAGTCTGAGGGCCTACCTGACTTTCTTTCCCTGCTGGTAGATTTTTTTTTTTTTTTTTTTGGTTGGTTTGTTTATGGGGTTTTAAGAAATTTATTTGTGTGTATGTATGCCCCCCCCCCCCTTTTTTAAGAGATAGTTTCACTATGCACTTCAGGCTGCCCTGGAACTCACTTTATAGCCCATACTATCTTTGAGCACAAAGTGAACCTCCTGCCTCAGTCACCCAAGTGCTGAGATTACAGGCATCCTGTAACATCCCTGGCCTTTTTTTTTTTTTTTTTTTTTAATGGTACCAGAGATTGAACTCAGGACCTTGCACTTTCCAGGCAGGCACTGAGCTATCTCCCCGGCCACTTTTTTTATTTTTTTGAGACAGGGTCTTGCTTTGTATTTCAGGTTGTCCTTCATTTGATACGTAGTCCAGGCTGCCCAGAGCTTACAACAGACCTCCTGCCTCAGCCTCCTGAATGCTGGCATTTTAGACATGCACCACTGTGCCCAGCTCTAAGCCGAAGTCTGACCCAACAAGTGCATAGTTTCTTATGTGGTGTTGCCAAAGAAGTATCTAGCCCCGTGTCTTCTTTCCATATTAAGTGTCTCTTTGTGCCCTGAGACTGGTGACAGCAATGATTGTCTTCATGCACACACTGTGGGTAGGGCTGCAGCAGACAGTGAAATGAGGGAAGGATCCTACTGGAGCTGATGAGTTGTGTCTTGACATATTCATCTGTCATTAGGAATTAAAACCTTCAGTAGCTGTTTTGATGCCAGTTCCTGTTCTGATTTTTCTCCTATGGACACACATTTCTTCATGTATACCCTAATGCCACTTCCATTTTTTTTTTCTGGAGTTGGAAATAATTTTATTTTGAGACAGGTGCTACTAACTTGCCCAGGCTAGCCTCAAAACTACAGTGCAGGTCCTGCCTTAGACTCTTTAGTAGCTGCAATTGCAGGTGTGTGGCACAGCACCCAGCTCCATTTTCACTTTGTTCCTTGCCGTCTGTTGAGCCATGCAGAAGGCCTCTCTCTTGCCTGCTCAATTCTTATAAGTCTCAATATCTTGTTTGATTTCCACATTCAGGATCCTGCAAGCCCCTTGAAACCTGTCAACCACTTTTATCTTCATTTTTCTCTTTTTCTGCCTAGAACTGTAATATCATGTTCATTAGCTCTTAATTATGCATCATCTTTACATTTGCTACTCATTTCGTGTGTGTTCTCTACCTTCTCCTTCTCAAGGAATTACAGGTTCCTTAAAGACAGTACCAGTGTTCTGGAGTAGCTTTGTGCTATTCTTCAGTCACTGACAGAGCATAAGCTCTAAGAAAATGTTGGAGGCCGGGGATATAGCTCAGCACACAGTGCCTGCCTGGCAAGTGCAAGATCCTGAGTTCAGTTCCCAGCACCAAAAGGAGATAATGTTGGATACAAGAGTTTTTAGTTTACAAGAGCTGTTACTTATATTTGACCAACATTGGTATAACCCTGGGTTGGTTTCTTGTCTTTTCTTTTTTCCTCAAAAGTGAGAATACTAGCGCCAGGGAGTTAGCTCAGTAGAGTAAGTGCTTGCCTGGCAAGCCAGAATCCTGAGTTCAATCCCCGGTTCTGCAAAACAAAAAAAAAAAGTGAGAATACTCTTAGGTTTGTATCTTAAACATTTTTTTCCAATGACTTTATGTTCTTTGTTTTCTATTAAAGGTGACTTTGCTGTCTTACTAAAGGCTGGCATGACTGTTAAGCAGGCTGTGCTTTATAATGCATTGTCAGCCATGCTGGCGTATCTTGGAATGGCAACGGGAATTTTCATTGGGCACTATGCCGAAAATGTTTCCATGTGGATATTTGCACTTACTGCTGGTTTATTCATGTATGTCGCTCTGGTTGATATGGTAAGTTTTAAGAAGTCAGATGACATTGACTAAATATAGTACAAAAAATATTCAGTAAAATTCATTTTTAAAAAGGTTTTAATTTAAATGTAAGTGATTCTAAATTCAAAAGTGGAATATAATAATGCAAGTGCTGCTTTGTGTGTAAGGGCCACCACACCTGGCACTTGAGAGGCCGAGGCAGGAGGACCGTCACAAGTTAGAGGCCAGCCTGGGCTACATTGTGAGTTCAAGGCCAGTTGAACTGCATAGCAAGACCCTGTCTCAAGAAAATCAATCAATATCCCTTGAGTTTGGGTTTGTTTTTTTTTTTTTTTTATTGGACGTATGCATGCTTTTATCCTGCCTACTGTCCACCGGGATACACATGAATGGCTACCATCCTCTGATGTATCTTTTAGAGAATTTTAGAATAGTAATGAGGCTCTGAATTGTTTATAGATTGGAAGAAACCCTAGGAGAAGCCATGTATTATTGACATGGTGTCTGTACTTCAGAGTGTTTGATGTATCCTTATTAACTAGCAAAGGAGATTTATCCTTTTGTCACCAACATCCTCAAAACAATCTGAGCCAATTTTATTGATAATAAAATTGACTTTATTCAGTGTTGGGCTTCATGTCCTGAACTGCAGAGGAGAACCGTGTGCCACATTCAGTTCAGATGTGCAGGGTGTAGCTGAACCAGGAGCATCGGCACAGCTTTTCATCCCCATATTGGTCCTCATGAGCTAACTCTACTAATACAGATTTGTTCTTGTTCAGAACACCATGAATAATTATTAAACTTATAGAAAATGCAGGATAACATTATTAAATTTGATACATATGTAGCCATGTTTTAATGAATTTAGCCATAATATACCCACAAATAATATACCTACAAATAAAGATATATTTTCCTGAAAATTCTAAAAAGTTCCTTGTAATTCTGAAAACCTAAATGTTACTTTTTTTTTTTTTAAAGGTACCTGAGATGTTACATAACGATGCTAGTGACCATGGATGTAGCCGCTGGGGATATTTCTTTTTACAGAATGCTGGGATACTTTTGGGTTTTGGGATTATGTTGCTTATTTCCATATTTGAACATAAAATTGTATTTCGTATAAATTTCTAATTATGGTAAAATGCTAGAGTAGCTTTAAAGAATTGCCGTCAATAGTTTAAATGGGCCATAGGGACATGAGTTTGTATGCTGTCATATCCAGCATTTAAAGTTAGTGGATTTTGTGATTTTTGTATTGAATATTACTGTTTGCTATACTGATAAGGCCAGTTATGTTGGTAACATAAAGGTACGTTTTAATATTTAAATTATTCTATTTTGGAAATATAAGCTATGTGTGCAGTTCACCAATATCCTCAGTTTATTGTGTAAGCAAGATATTTGGCATGACATGTTCTGTATATTTCTGGAAAAAGTTTTTGTGCACTAAGTTAGTAAGTAAGCTCATACTGAATCTAGGCCTCTGAAAAACAAGTGGTCCACAAGAACATGCATAAAGCCTAAGTGTAGACTAATGGATGAGAAGGGAAAAAAGAATATGAGGGTCAAGAGGTGTAGATTTCTTATAAAAATCACAAAATTGGTAATAATGTAGAGGAGGAAACTTAGATACAACGTTTGAAAAGGAGTAAGTAGTATAGACTACATTGATAAATACTTTGTGAAGTATTACTGTTCCTGTAAAGACATAGCACTTTCATATGCATACTAATTTAGTTGTACATTTGTTTGTATAATAGCAAAATCTAAGTATATTTAATGAATTCAAGCAATATAATACTTGGCCAAGAAATTGGAATTGGGGAGTATTTGTGTTGGAGATGATGAGTATAGTAAGTTTTGTGTCACCAAAAGACTTCATTGTCACCAAATTATATTTCACCAAAATTTATGTGACTGGATGTTTTGGTTTTCTCATTTACCGAATACCAGAGTATTTAAATTTTGATCTGTGTAAGAACACTAACACCCATTCTGAGTATATTTGACTTCTTGGATTCAGAAAGTACTTCATTACCTGTAATCCCACTGAGTAACTGGGATTACAGGTGTACACTGCTACATCCAGTCTAGAACATTCAGGCCTAGACTTGATGGTGCTTCAGTGTTGTCATCGTGAGCAATTGTCCTTTTATATGCAGTACTGTAGACATACTAGGGCTTCTGTGGCATTGTTTAGATGTTTCTTTCTTACAAAATAAATGCTTCATGTCAGATACCAGTTTGTTTCCTTCTTTTTACCATCTTAGTCATTTTAGTAGTTTTGAAGTTATTGTGCAACATATCTCTACAACTAAGTTATTGTGCAACAGATCTCTATAACTTTTATTTTGCAAAATCAAAACTCTACGCCCATTAGCTAATTCCCCATACATCACTCACCACCCACCTCTGACCCTGGTAACTATCATTCTACATTGTGTTTCTATAAAATTGAAATGTATGGTTTTAGAGCTGGGGATATAGCTCTGCAGCACAGCACCTGCCTGCCAAACACAAGATCCTGAGTTTGATTCCCAGTGCAAAAAACCCACCAAAAACCAGAAAATAAAACGTCAGGTTTTGTGAGTTGCAAACCAGAATATAGTATACTAGCTAACTCATTTATATATCACTTTATTCTGTGACCTTATTGAACTTCTGTATTTATCACAAAAGAAATTTCAAAGAATAGTGGCCCACATTTGTTCCCAGGTATCCCTAACATTTTTTTTTAATCCCCACCCAAAGCTGGAGAAGAACTGTTATTAACCTACATTCGAAAGATCAGAAATTATAGACAATACCTACTTACTACTCTGAGGCCAAAGAAAGCCATATCTGGTCCCCAAGTCATGACAGAATAAGAGTAACAGCAAAATTACTGTTTGGGAAGCCAAAAAGGCTGAAATGAGACATCTTTGGCTCAGTGGTTACTCTGCTTCAGAAACAGAAACCTACTGTAGCATCACTGCTAGGTCAGTGTGTGATGAGGAAGGTCTCGTAGATCCTGGGAATGCTCTAGACTGGATGTATCAGTGCACACCCCCAGCAACTCAGGAAGCCAAGGTGGGAGGATCACAAGCTCAAAGCCAGCCTGGACACCTTAGCAAGACCTTAACTCAAAATTTAAAAGCTGGGGACGTAGCTTATCAATAGAATGCCTCTGAGTTCAATCCTCAGTATCACCACCACCAAAGAAGTTTCTATAGGAATTTGAGGAAGACAGAGACTTATACCTTCTCTGTTCATAAAGATTTTCAAGTTGAGGGGAGAGGGGAATAGTTCCCTGACCAAGAAAAGAGGAATGCAAACCGTGATTCCCACTTGTTTGAACCCATTATTGTGTATGTGCAAAAACTTAAACAGTAGTTCCCATGGCTCTGTAGGAGAATACAGATTAGAGGGAAATGCAGGCGCTGTGCAATATGCACAAAAGTTTAATCTTTTAAAAAAAAAAAAAACCTTATAAGGGGGCCTGCCCATTAGTTCAGTTGTTTAAGCGCCTGCCCATGCAAATGCAGTCAGGCACAGGATACCGCAGTTCGATCCCCACCTCCACCTGCCTTACCAGACCTGCCCTTAAGGCAGCCTGAGCCAGCCCCCTCCCCCCCAAAAAAAAATCATTAATCTTTCAGGGAGGTTAGCAGACTGACAGAAAAAGACACAAAAATGAATGAAAGCAATGGCTAAAGTCAAGCAATCGTGAGTATCAGAACTGTGATATTTCGAGTTAATTTGTAAGTTGTCAGTGGTTTTCTCTTTAGCTTTTGGATTCATTTTCTTTAATGTTTTATGTTTTCAATTTCTTCGGTTTTCATAATGTATTGTTTTCTATTTGTTGTGGGTCTATTTCTCATTTTTTAAGTGGAAGTTTCATTGATTCAAAATCTTCGCAATATAAATATATTGTAGAAATTTTCTTCTGCATTGCTTTAACTGCATTCTACAAATTTTGACATGTTCCATTTTCATGTTTGCTCAGTACACAAACTAAAAGACTAGCAATACTAATACAAATATGGCAACTTAAATAACATGGATCAGTTTCTCTAAAACCACAAGTTGCTGAAACTTAACCAACACAAATAAGCAGTATGAATAGTCTGTAATTATTAAGGAAACTGAATTTATAGTTAAAACTTATGAAAGATATTTCAGGCTGAGATGATTTTATTGGTAAATTCTACCAAATATGTAAAGAAAAATACCAATAGTATAGTATATGAATGATCGATCTCCTATAGAAATTAGAAGAGAAGGGCTGGTGAGATGGCTTAGTGGTCTAAAGCACCTACTTAGAACAAGCTTAGCAAAGCACAGGGACCGCGGTTCAATCCCCCAGCACCACATGCCAGCCAGCCCTGCCCCCTGGTGGACTGAGCTGGCCACTCACAGACACACACACAAATAAATAAATAAAATTTTTAAAAAAGAAATTAGAAGAGAAGGGCCTGGCTGGGAAGATAGCTCAGTGGCCTAAGTGACTGCCTAGAAGTTAGCAGAGAAAGGAATATGTCCGAACTCATTTAATGCAAACATTTTGATATGAAAACCCAAGGACAGCACAAAAAAACTATAAACTAAGGAAAAACGATCATATGAATGCAGAAAAAACATTTGATAAAAGTTAACCACTTATGATTGAGAAAAAGAAACCTCAGTAAAGTGTAGCTAACATCATGCTTACTAGTTAAAAAGAAATGCTTTCCCTCTAAACTCAGATGTAAAGCAAAGCTGTCCATTTTCATCATTTTCAATCTCATACTGAAAATTCTATCAAAATAAGGAAAAAATAAGCAAAAATACATAGCTCAGTGGACTAAGCGCCTGCTTAGGCAAGTGCCAGAACCTATGTTCCATCCCCAGTCCCGCACGCCACGCCAGCCCCATCCCTGGGCACACTGAGCCAGCGACAGAGTCTGGGCATGGTGGCACATGTCTATAATCCCAGCACTGGGGAGGCTGAAAACAGTATCACTATAATCCCAGCTGTGTAGTGAGACCCAGTACCAAATATATAATTTTTTTTTAAGTGCACATAGTTTGGGAAGAAACCAAATCATTACAGTTCACAGATGACATGTTTGTCTACGTAGAAAACCCCAATGAATATATTAAAAACTTTATAGAACAAGAATTTAACATTGTAAGAATCTGATGTTGGACTGGGGATATAGCTCATTGGCACGATGCTTCCCTGGCAAGCACAAGGTCATGAGTTCAATTCCCAGTATCCCCCCAAAAATATGATGTTGACAGAAAAATCAATCTTCTATTTACAGACACTTAAAAGCTAAAAATTAAAAACAAATTGTACAATAGTTTCCCCAAAAACAAAATGATTGGATTTAATTCTAGAGAAATACACAAGATCTTTATACTGAAACTTAAAATGCTGATAAATGAGACATATGTCCATTGACTGGAACATAGCATAACAAATGTGTTCACTTCAATCCAAATCCTAGCAAAATGTTTTTAGGTAAGACATGCTGTTCCTGGCAGAGGCGTGGAGCCACTGACCTTTTAAACATTGCTGTTGGGAATGCAAAACTGTTCAACCAGTATGAAAAATATTTTCTCAGGAATGTAAACACATGTATTGTTACCCAGAAATTTTCTACTGTGTATTTACCTTGGCATAATTAAACCTTGTGTTTACACAAAAAAACCTGCACAGCAGTTGTATTTTTTTTTTTTTTTTTTTGGTGGAATTGGGGATTGAACTCAGGTCCTTGGGCTTGCCAGGCAAGTGCTTATTCTACTGAGCTATCTCCCCAACCCAAATTTTTCTTTTTCTTTCTTTCTTTTTTTTTTAGCAGTTGTATTCATAATCATCAGAAACTGGAAACCACCCAGATGTGTTTTAACAGTAAGTGAATAAGCCATACTGTGGTACATAGTGTTTGTGTAATGTGATACTGCTTGGTATTAAAAGCAGTGAACTATGGATAAAGGCAACTTCCGTGACTGTCAGAGGCATTTTAATAAATGAAAAAGGTAAACTTAGTTATATATTGGAAGTTTCCACTTATACAATATTCTAGAAACAATAATTTGGTAAGGAGAATAGATAAATGGTTTCCGAGAACCCATGCTGAGTCAGTGTGACCATAAACCATTAACATGAATATTGGGGAGAGTAGTGGAACTATACTATATACTGATTTTGCTGGTGGATATACAAGCTTACTCATCTATTAAAACTTGATAGAGGAGTTGCTGAGATGGCTCAGTGGTCTAAAGCACCTACTTAGAACAAGCTAAGCTAAGCAAAGCACAGGGACCTTGGTTCAATCCCCCAGCACCACATGCCAGCCAGCCCCGCCCCCTGGTGGGCTGAGCTGGCCACACACACACACACACACACACACACACACACACACAAAATAAATAAATAAATAAATGTTTTAAAAAAGAGAATTTCTTATTAAAAAAAAAAAACTTAATAATATCGAGCCCTGGCACGATAATCCCAGCACTCGTGAGACTGAGGCAGGAGGATTGGTGTAAGTTTGAGACCAGCCTGGGGTACAAAATGAGCTTAAGGCCAGCCTGAACTGCATAGTGAGATCCTACCTCAAAAAGACAAAATAAAATAAAAAATAGAACTCAGGAAGGCGATCCCAAGGTCAAGCCCAGCAAGGACAATTCAGTGAGACCCTGTCTCAAAATGAACTAACGCTGTAGCTTGGTAGGGGAGCACCTTTGGGTTGAAAACCCAATGCCGTTCTTTTCAAAAAGCTTGTAAAGCTCTATGGCAAAGTAAAATTTCCTGTTATTGAATTGTTTTACAAAGGGATTCTATACATTTCCATCCTTGATTTGATTATATAATTTATAACATCAAGTACTTTATACATACATGTGGGTATGTGCTTACAGAGATGTTTGAAAAGATATAGTCAAGTAGGAGTCAAGTTTAGTGTTCTTAATAAGTTTCTCTACTTGGTATTTACTCCACCCCCCCACTTTTTTTTTTGTATTTTAGGACAGGGTCTACAGGGTCTCTACATAGATTGACTTCTAGTGATCCTCCTGTTTTCAGCCTCCCAAGTGCTGGGATTGCAGGCGCGCACCACCATGCCCAGTCTCAGTTGCTGTCTGAGCACACCTGAGGGGCAGGTCTGGCACAGCAGGCCCAGGGTCGAATCCCGGTGGCTGCGTCTGCCTAAGCAGGTGCTTTAGTCCCCTGAGCTATCTGGCCGGCCCTTCTTTCCCTTTTTATGTACAA